AATATCACATCCTTCGACGAAAAAACGCTCGTCTGGCCAAATTGCGATTCTGGGCAAAACTTTGAATTGTCGGATGGGTAATATGTTCAGAGAGGGCAGATATGACCAAATCCATACTAGATCGAGTACGTCGTATACTTGATGTACTTGATCTACTTGCCCTGCTGGGCCGTAAATTCGGAAGAATTTCGAAAATTAGAGTTGAAGCTCTTATACGGAGCGAAGCAAAAATTTTCGCGCCAACCGGATGCAAACCCGCATGCGTTTGACTTGAAAGCGAGACCATTACCACGAGGCCACGGTGGCACTGCCGAGGCATCGATCAGCAGCGCTTACGAGCCAGAACTCAAACTTTGACCACCCAGATCTCGTCTGGGAGGTCCCCGTAGCACTTTTAATCTGCATATTCGTAATCAGCATTCGAGGCTCTATCGATGTACCTAGGTCTCCATTCAAAGTTCCATGGGAAGTTCAAACCATTCCCTTGTAAGAACGCAATTTCATCAGGACCAAAACCCTCTTCAGAGCGCCCTATCTTTTCTCTTTCCAACAAGCTTTACAGTTTTCCTGAAGACCCGCTAGTTCAGGAGATATTTTAGATGGGTTACCAACACGCTACCCTCTGAACCACTCAAAAGTTGGACTCCTTCCGTGCCATCATGAGGATACTCATTCAAGAACTCCAATATGCCTTCAAAACACATATTCCCGCTCAAATGAGTGAAAGAAGAGCTTCGTTATCATCGATCGATTTGGTCCGAGTGTGCGCCGTGCATTACGCTTCTACGCAGAGATGGTGGAAAGGTGTAACTTCTGATTTCAGGTGATTTTTCCATGCAAGCAGATGTTTGTTTAGGTGTTTAGGATTTGGAAAGGACCATACGCACGAATCTGTTTGAGACGTATTATTTAGTCATCTACGCACTTACGAGTTCATGCTAGCTGTTGATATTGCTAATCAATTTTTTATTATTTTGTAGTCTTCCTTACATCCGGGTCATCTGCAGCTTTCCGTTCGCTCCATCAAACTTAGCAATGACACTTTTGTGCTGTTTAATGCCCACCGACCCTGCATTTGCGACCCTCCCCACGTCCCCTGCGGCCAAGTACGTCCCCTTTCTGGGGATTTCGCATGAAAAGAAGGCTGATGAACGGAGCGCTTAAATCTGTCGAGAATACACTCATGAAAACTTTCATTTTTTTACATCACGGCTTTCATAGCTCTACTCCTTCGATCAACTGAAACGTCAGCGTTGTAGCGTTGTCCGACTGACCCTTGAGATTACATTCCACCCCCCCCCCCTCCCCAGCGGCCAAGTACGACCCTGAATATGGGTTCGCCCAACAATGCTGTACCCTGCTTGGGGAAGAACCTAACTTTTTTTTGAAATCTATTCTGCCTTCCTCCAACCTTCTTTTCATGAAACTTTCTATTCTTTTTTTTTTTTCTTGAAGCTTCTTTTATCTAGTCTCTCATCACTTCCACGATTGCCCAGTTTTTACTGTTACTTAATTATACTTACTTTTCTTAGAGATGTACCTTCGGAATCAAGTGTTCCGAAAATAACGATCGATTACAACTAACATTGTCACATTTTAGTGTTCGCGCGATGATCGCGACATCACACTTGAAGCGGAAAAGAACTCGCAACAAGCCCAATTCACACTATCTCTAATAGTTTTGCCTACATATTTAGCACATGAAAGCTCTCTTTGCTTGAAGTAAATGCGTAACTCATTCTCGAAAGGAGTTGGTTGCAATAATGTCATGCCGCCGCGCACCATTGTTGAAAGTTTCGAGTTTCCTAGGCTCTGGGAAGAACTAGGACTATGGAGAAGTAGCGGAAGAAGAAAGAGAGCATCCAGACAGGTCTGATCACCCCTTTGCACATGTGGACTTCGACACATTACAACGAGCCGCGTACGCAAGAAACAACTCTGCAGTTGTACGGTATACGTTAAGGGTGACCCATAAGCGTGTTGCGAGCCCGTGAAGAAGTTGTCTGTTTTATACTCCCTACGGTAACTACAGTATCAGCTAGCATCGCTCAAAGCGTGCCGCAGCTTTGGTCGTTGCGCGGTGGATCCATCCCACTGCACCGCCACATCACACATTAATAGAATACCATGTAGTAGCCACTTACCAGACAGCACACCACTGCACCCACCCAAATATTGTTGTACTAACTTCTTCAAAAATTTTCCGGCTCTCTATCTAATGGCGAGCTTAAAATCCTGAGCAGGGCACAGCATCCGATGGGATTGGTCGAGCCTGTACGACCCCCCCCCCTTTTTTGGGGGTTCGGTACGACCCCCCCTTTTTTGCCGTTCGGTTTTTTTCGCCTTAAATGAAACTATGAAACGCCCACTATGAAATTCTACTTGTATGAAGGTGCCCATACTAAATGGACGACTTGAAGTCATGACATAATAGAACAATACAGAAATGATTGTGCAACAAAAAACGGTACAATCGTATTATGAGAAACTCGTATGATGAACTTCTTCGATGGCCGTTTTGAAACACACATGGTAATAATAACGATATATCGCGATTAAATTCAATGAGCATTCGTTAACCTGAGGTGGACTCCCTCTCTGGGAGCGGCCATCAGCGACCACAGTGTTAACAACGTCTATTCCCAAGATTGAGGACGAGGAAAAGAGAAAGTTAGGCTTGTCTCACTACGTAACAGTTAAACAAACCGCCGTAAAAATGCATTACCCCGATTATTGGAGTACGGTAGCAGAAGCGCATGTAATTGCGGCTGTGACAGGAGATTATTCGGCAATTTTA